GACCGCCATTTCATCGTTAAATTTTTTAGAATAATAAAAAAAAACAATAACAATAATAATAATAATAATAATAATAATAATAATAATAATAACAACACGGTAAATAATAACAATAATAATAATAATTTTTTATTCGCAAAAAAAAAAGAAACAGTGACGCATTCAGGAAAATTTTTAAAAACAACAACATTGACTCATCATGCCTCGTCATACCTCGTACTGAAATAACAAACCCAATATTAATTATTAATTATTAATTATTATTATCATTATTACTTTTTTTTTATGAGCCTAATACTAATAATAATAATAATGATCATTTTTCAATAAAAAAAAAAAAAAAATTTGATACGATTCGATCGATCGCGTCGCTCGAATTTTTTTTTTTTTTTTTTTTTTTTAAATTCCCCCCCAGCAAAAAAAAAAAAATAAAACGATGAATCCGAATAATTTGTCATGAAACAAACAAAAACAAACGACAACAAACGGAAAAAAAAAAAAAACCCCCCCGACTAATTATTATTATTATTATTATTTTGAAAAAAATTCGGGACGGATAATTATTGCTAATTCCGTCATTTTATTTTCAAAACAGCAAAAAAAAAAAAAAAAAAAAAAAGGAAAACAACGACAAACAACAACGCGCCATCACTGAGACAGAAACCTAAACAACAAACAATTTTTTTTTTTTTTTTTTTTTTTTTTCAAAATTTACGAGTCACGCTGACAAATAATATAAACTAATAAATTTCGCTGATACAAAACGTAAACGATGACGACGACGATGATGATGATGATGATGATGAATTAATAACGATTTATTGCTGATTTCCGATAAAAACAAACAAAACAGACGCGAGACTAATAATAATAATAATAATAATAATAATAATGACGTTACGAGGAAGTTATTATTTTTTTTCATTTTTTCGCTTTCATTTTTATTATTTTTTCCTTTCCCCCCCCCCGTTTAAACTGTCAAGTTTAAAGGAAAAGTATCGGGGGGGGGAGGGAAATTTATATAGATTTACATAACTGAAGAATACATACATAAATATATAAAATGATTATTATTGAATTGCGTAACGAAACGAACGTAGTCGTAAGAAAAAGAAAAAACTAAAAGGAAATCAAAAACAAAAAGATGTCCGAAATTTTCAGAGTCTTCCGCGTGAACGAACAAAAGGTGAAATCGATGGAAGAAAAAAAAACCGTTACAATAGTTGTAAATTACGTAATTTAAAAACGAATTCAAATTTATTTTCGTAAAAAAAAAAAAAAAAATTTCACATCTACCTCTTCCACGCATCGGTTTAAAACCTTTCGACGCAAAATTTATCAAAACTTTATTTCAAATTAAAAGAGGTACGACGCGTGCGCCCGCGCCTGATACAAAGATAACCTCCTCCTCTTCCTTAAAATTTAAAAGGTTACCGAAACGGAAAAAAAAAAAACTACCGATTCGAATTATTATTTTTTTTTTTTTAAATAAAATTTTCAAAGTCGAATTTAATTATTTTCATTTAACCTTGAAATCATCTTCGTGAACCCCGTCCCACCTCCCTCCCCCTCCACGCGACGTTGATCTATTTAATTATCATTATTATAAACGTTATAATTCTCGCGCATGAAAAATTCTTTTTTAAAAAAAAAAATTTCCTCCGGTTGATTTTCTTTTTAATTTTTTTTTTTTTTAGGGAGGGGAGGGTAAGGGTTTTTAATGAAAAATCATCCGTATTCCTCCACAGTTGCCAAATCGTCAACAAAACGAACGAAAATAAAATTCCCGTAATTCGATTTGACAAAAAAAAAAAAAAAATCTTGAGAATTTTCTCAGGTTTTTTTTTTTTTTTTTTATATTCGTTTCTCAACCCAGAATCGACAGCACATGTACAACAAACAAACAAACGAACAATTTTTTTTTTTTTTTTTTTTTTTTTTAAGGAATGTTTGAATAATCATGAGAACTGGAACACGATTTTGACGTGTCGTTAGAAAATTTTTTTTTTACCGGAATGTGTACGTAATTTAAACTGTCGATTGAGAAAAAACCGTCGGTTTCACACACACACACACGCGAATGGAATCCCGCGTTCGCGACATTTTCCCTCCCCCCCCCGTTTTCCTTTTCCTTTTTCCGACGGTTTGTGTAATAAATTTCGCGTGTATTTTTGTGCCTGACTTCATCGCGACCGGTCATCACATTTATTTAAACTCGTTAAAAAAAAAAAAAAACGATGATGTCATTACGAAGCTTTCGAAATCGTTCATTTTTTTTTTTTTTTTTTTTCCTTTTGTGCACCAAGTCAAATGACTAATTTTAAACCGTGTTAAAATCCATAAAAATAAAAACCTCCTCATCGTTCATCATTAATTAACCCGAATCGTAATTAACCTAATATTTAAACAAAAAAAAAAAATTTTTTTTTACATTGTTGCGAACTTTAAACCCCAAGTTTCGCACGGGGAAAAGAGATGAAAAGAGAGAGAAAGAGAGAGAGAGAGAGAAACAAAAAAAAAAATTTTTTAGACACTCAATGACCGATACGAGTTCAATAATATGATTTTCAATCACGTAAAATATCAATAAGGACGAAGGTCAGATTCGATTGATAATAAAAAAAAAAAATTGTTTGAATTACATGCTCCAACATTCCTAAGTCTGCGGTCAAATTCTTAAATAAAATAAAAAAAAAAAAAAAAACTCCGTGCTAAAACTCTTGCTATTATCATTATCATCATTTTCTTATATTTTCACTTTTACACATACACGCATACGAGACAATTTACGATTGAGTGTCGGTATCTTCCATTTCAGGTATCCATCCAACTTTATCACTACCCGATACTTCACAATTTGCGGTGTAAACCCGACCGACCTGAAATTTTGAATTTTCTCGTAAATATCGATCGAAATTTTTTCTTCCCCACATCCTGAGAATCTTTTTATTTTTAAATCCCTTTTTTTATTACCCATCTTATTTCCGGTGGTAAACATATTTCGAACGGTTATAAATTTTTAACTTTTCCCCCGGGATTTTTTTTTCGTATTTTTTGAAACTTTGCGCGCGCGTGCGTATTTACGAGGAGGGGGGGGGAAAAAATGTCGCCTTTCCAAGTATCCCCTTATTCTCAAAACCAGGTATTCTAAATAATAAATGATTTCCGACTCGAATCGGTACCTTTTTTATTCCTTCAAACTTTACAAACTACCTTCCCGTAATTAAAAAATCATCCACAAAATTTCGTCGCCATTTACGGTACTCTCTCTCTCTCTCTCTCTCTCTCTCTTTCTTTCTTTCTTTTTTATATCAAACACATCATCATCATCATCATCATCATCATCACCTTTCCTAACGTTCCACCATTTTGAATTTTTTTTAATTTTATTTTCTTAATAATTAATTTAAGTAATATTAACTATATTCGGAACAGTAAGAACGAAACATATATATATATATATATATATATATATATATATATATATATATATATTGTTATGATCCCGTACTCAATATTCACATTTTCAACTTTTTATAAACAAAAGACTGGCGACGAACTCAAATTGTTCTTCTTTAGAAGCGAAGCTTCTAAAGACTATTTCTTTTATTTTATTTGCAAGTGTTTGCTCGAACATTCGAAACAGTTGACTGGCGAAAGACAAAAGTAATATAGGGAAGCTACACAGCTTTGCATTGGTTCATTTGATTTTTAGTCTAGCTGTAATAAGTTCTTGTTTATTAATATTAGTTTTGTGATAGTTTTAAGTGCTTGTTCATTACTTACAAAAATAAAGAACGAACCGAATATAACAATATATATATCCTTTTTCGGGATTAAGTTAATCATCTGAAAACTCAATTAAATCCGTGATAATCCGATTTTAATTATTTAATATAAATAATATAATGTCCCGTTTTTCATATCCCGCACGTCTCCCTCTCTCTCTCTCTCTCTTACTCACTCATTTTTAGTTCAGCAAAAAGAAAAATAATAATAATAATAATAATAATAATAATAATAATAATAATAATGTGACGCGAATCGAATTCGTTTTGCGCGTTAAAAAAAAAAAAAATTTAAAAATTTAAAGATTTTTATATATATTATTATACGCTTTTGAAACCGAAATAATAATAATAATAATGATACAATATTTTTTCTATTTTTTGATTATAATTCTTTTTCCCTTTCTTTTGGTCTCACTTACACATCGAGTAAAGTTAAGAATAATAATAATAATAATAATAATAATAATAAACATTTCCCGTGACCGTATTGAATACGGTTATAATAATAAATCTTCATAAGATATATAAATTTATATAAATAATAATAATAAATTACACGTGACTAAAAAAAAAATAACCCTACTTTTTTGTTACGAACGTAACGTTGTTGTATTTTCATTGATATCGATGTATTATTGTTATTATTATTATTATTATTATTACTACCAACGCCCATATCATCGTCGTCATAAAATTTTCCACGGAGAAACAACAACAATAACAATAACAACAAACAAAACCGTGGCGTGTACGGGTATGGATGTGTGATGAGTGTGTGTGTGTGTGCGTACGCGCGACGTAGTGACCTCAAAGGGTCTGTCTCGTGTCGCGTCGTAAAATTTATCATGTTAGACGCCGAAAAAATATATTTAATGTAAATAAAGTTATATGTGCGCGACTACATAAACAAATCATAGAAATTTTCGCGCGATTTTCTCGTCATAATTTTTTAAAAGATGCGTTATTCGGTTACGACTCTTAAGTAGATAATTTAAAAAAAAAAAAAAAAAAAAAAAATTTAAGGTGTGATGAAAATCGATTTGCCTTCTAAACGTTTGTCGTTTATGAATCATTTTGGAAAAAACAAGACAAACAAATTAAGAAAACAATAAAAGTTTTATAAATTAAACAAACGACTCCCTAAAGTCGACAACCGAAAAGAAAAGAAAAATGAATCATCCAAATTTTACCTTTTTGGGGTAAATAAAATTACTTAAAACTTGGTATAAAATTAACGGAAATCTACAAACAAATATTAAAAACAAACAGAGAGAGAGAGAGAGAGAGAGAGAGAGGGAGATCCGCCATTTTGCTCACAAAAAAAAAAAAAAAATTAATGTGGAACCAATAAATACATATTCCGACAGATGATACATAATACCCATAACCCATCATAAAACTCCGACAGTCAATTTTTTCGAATTAAAACGTCAATGTTTACAAAGGGAGAGAAAGAAAGAGAAAGAGAAAGAGAGAGAGAGAGAGAGAGAGAGAGAGAGGTGAAAGAATGAAAATTATTGAAAAACAACAGCTGACATTTTTTTTTCTTTTAAACTCCAAATGAATCTGATTAAAAAAGGGTCGCCAACAAATCCCTTACATATGCTTAAAAGCACATGCGACCACCATATTTTTACGTGAGGACCTCTCATTTACTCCGACGAAACCGACCTCGACCCCAGACTCATTTATTTCGTGTTAAACACTCATATCCGTCTTATAAAAAAAAAAAAAAAAAAGGTATAAACTCACCGTTGGGCTTTGAAGTACCGATGCATCGCTTAGGGAGCAATAACTCGAGGATCGGCTGGAAAGTAAAGATGACAGAGGTTCCGGACTTAGACTCGTCGCCGATGCCAAGCTCACCGAATCCAGGCATCGATCTCGCTTCTCCGTAGAGTCTTGTCGAGATCTCATCGAACCCTGAAGATGAGTCCTCATCGATTCCATCGATCTCGAATTGAGGCTGACTGTATCCGCCGACCGAGTTCGGTAAGGGCTGAGTTGAACGTGCTTCAACATCCTGTTGGGGAAAAGGAAACAAAAAAAAAAAAAAAATCGCATCTATTATTAAAAATGAACGTATGTATGTACGTACGTATTAAAAATCAATATTAAAAACAAATGAAAATAAATAACATTCGTTCGTTCGTTTTTTTTTTTTTTTTTATAAAAGCGGATGTCTGGAATTTTAAGTCCTTGGCATTCACCCAGGAGATTATAAGTGTACGATATTTTGTTACGTCGAAAATCCTTGTTCCCTAATACACGATCGTAAAAACAAACAAACAAACACATTTTCTACGATTAATATAAAATTTAATAAAAAAAATAAAAAATGGAACAACGAAACGTACTGTTTGTTATCAAAAGGTAGTAGTGTGTAAGGAGCCACGTGAAAATAATAATGCGTGTGTGTGCGTGATTGCGTGTGCGTGTGTGTGCGTAATTGCGTGTGCGCGTGTGTGGTAAAATGAAGATCCTCGCAACGAAATAAACATTTTTTTTTTTCTTTTTTTTTTTTTTTTTTTAATATTATCCATTAAAATATCACTTGAACAAGTAGTGAACGAATACACGAAATGATATTAATTAAACAAATAATAATAATAATAATAATAATAATAATAATAATAATTTTTGTGAGAAAAAAATTTTCTTTTTTTATATACATTAAATTTTTTTCTTCTTTTTTTCTTTCCAGGTAAAATTATCCACTTAAAATTCTTACCAAAAGAGATTTTTTTAATTCTTGCGTACCTTTAAGAACTAAATAATGATAATAATGATAATAATAATAATAATAACCAACGCTTTTTAATCCACGAAAAAAAAAAAAAATTCACATAGTAATCCTTAATTATTTTATTTATGCCATGACATCTACACTACGCATCTCTTTAAAAACAAAATACAAACAAAAAACAAACAAAAACAAAAAAAACGGGAAGTTGTTACAACGTGACGTGGAAATAGAAAAGATCCGATTACCTTTTACAAACGCACAACTCTTTACAATAATAATAATAATAATAAGACAAAATAACAAATAAAAAATCATAAAACAAAAAAAAATAATAATAATAAAAATTTGCGATTGTTAATTATTTTCGGACATTATTATTATTATTAACAAAAAAAAATCATCTCATAAAATGAATAATAATAATAATAATAATAATGATAATAATAATAATAATAATAATAATAATAATAAATTTAAAACCTGACTGCATCTTATGAATCGTTATATATACGTAGAAAGAGCTACACGCGGAGCATAAAGGGATCGGATAGTTAATTTCATTACTTTTAAAAAAAAAAAAAAGAAGGGACTCGAATTCCGGCGGAAGTTTTCGACACGCATCAAAAATAATATTTAAAAAAAAAAAAAAACTTTTAAATCGACCACACAATAAACAAGATCATAATTTTTTGAAATCCCCGCCAAAAAAAAAAAAAAATTTAAATATTGTTAGAAATAAATTTTCCTATAAAAAAAAAAAAAAATTTTACAAAACAAGAAAAAATAATAATAATAAAATTTTTTTTTTTTTTAAATCCCGAAAACCAGGAAAAAACAACAACAACAACGACAAGGAATATTATTTCGTTTGTTTACTACGTCATTCATTCATTCATTCATTCATTCGTTTTTTCTCGTCTCGACTTCCTTCCTCCCTTCTTCCCTCTCTCGCGCGTACATTTTTTTTTTTTTCAATTGAAATTTTACTCGTAAAAAAAAATTTTTTTTTTTTCGGATTTGAATATTTTCCGTTGGCATCCCTGCCAACAACAAAAACAAAAACGACGCCATTAAAATTTTAAAATAAAGATGAAAAGCTCGATTAAAACGTTGGCATTTTTTTTTTTATAATTCTATTTAAAAACAAACAAACAAACAAACAACAAGCAAACAAAATGAAGAATCCACACCAAAAACACGCTAAAGAAAACAAACGTAAACAAAAACGTAAAACAAAAAAAATTTTTTTTTTTTTTCCTTTAAAATTTTCCTTATTTTTTCCTTCCTCCTCTCTCTCTCTCTCTTTCTTTCTTTTTTTCTTTCTCTCTCTCTTTAATTTTAACACGAAAAAAACAAAAATATTTTCAACGTTTGACTCTCAATTTGTTTCGCATTAATGTCAACCGATTTACTCAACCACCGAGAAATTTACGACTTTTTTTCTTTCTTTCCTTCTTTCTTCCTTTCTTTCTTTCAATAATAATAATAATAAACAAACAAGAAGCAAAACAACAACAACAACAACAACATTGATAATAACGATGATATTGATTTATTTCTTAATTTAATATAAATTTTAATTTTAAAAAAATTAAAAGAAGAAGAAGAAGCCGTGAAATGAAATGAAATGAAAAGAAAACAAACAAACAAACAAACAAACATACAAAATCATTCATCCCGTTCGAATTATTATATTTCTATATATATACAAACAAACAAACAATTTAAAAATTTGTTTTGTGCTGACAAATGATTGCCATTTATTTATTTATTTTTTTTTTTTATACGTTCCGTACAACAACAACCGTTTAATATGTCTTCAAACAATGTGAAATACGTTTGCCCCCGTTACAAACAAACGAACAAAAAAAACAATAAAAAATAATTTTTTCTTTTTTTTTCTTTTCTTTTATTAATTTAAAAAAACGACACAAAAATTGTTGCATTCAAAAAAAAAAAAAAAAAAAACTGTGCCGCCGCCATTGCCACCGCCGTCGACACACACAACATTGTTAACAATAATTTTTTTTTTTTTTTTTTTATTGTTCTTTTCGACCGTTCGAACTGTTCCAGTTTTAAGTAAAATAAATAATAATAATAATAATAATAATAATAATAAATTAATTAATTAAAATAATCGCTTAAACTAGTTTACGAAAGAGATATTACGTTTTGTTAACCTGGAGAAAATTTTTTTTTTTTTTTTTGTAATTTTTTTTTTCACCCGCGTAAAAAATTGTTTGTTTGTTTGTTTGTTTGTTGTTTGTTTAAATATTTTCAAATTTAAATTCGAACGAATTTAACGATTCGATTAAAAGATCATCGAGGGAGAGAAAATTCTCAAACGAATCCACGATAAATTTTTTTAAAAAAACTTGTTTTTCACACGAGTTTTAATCGATTCCACCTCTCTCTCTCTCGATTGAATTCTCTCAATAATAATAATAATAAATAATCCCACACCTGATTCGTTCACGTAATGCACCTGAATTGTAATTCGAAACTCATGAGAGACAAACAAACAATCAAACATTATTTTATTACTACTACTACTACTTTTTTTTTTCATCTTTCAGATTTTATACGAATCTCGATTAATACCCGATAGGTAGCCAACAACCCGAAACAAAAAAACAAACAAACAAACAAATAAAAATTGTCAATGTTAACAACAACAACCAAAACAACCGCCTCGGATTTTTTTTTTTTTTTTTTCTGTATGTTCGGGTAAAACGTGTTGTCGAAACTATTTTCTTTCCCCCTCCCCCTCCCCCCCGTGTTAGTTTTTCTTAATGAATTAAACCTATAAATTACTCTATAAATAAACCAAGTAGGTAGGCGTAGGTGTTGATAAAAAAATTTTTTTTTTTTTATTACCGGTTGGTTATTTAAACTTAAACCGAATAATACTTCCTATTATGTTAAAAAATAAATTATTATTATTATTATTATCATTTTCGATTTTTTAACAAGTAATGGAGACATAATTTTCATGAATCTGTCAAGATTTACGTATAAAAAAAAAAAAAAAAATAAAAATTCCCATATTTGCAAGAGAGTGGGAAAGAATAAACCATCTTCAACAACGACTACGACCACGACCACGACTAAGGTCACGAACTGGATTTTTAATTAAATCCGGATTATTATTATTATTTTCGATCTGCAAAATCCTCTCCGTGTTTTTTTTTTTTTTTATTAAAATCCAAAATTTTCAAAGTTTACAATTAAGTGGAAAAAAATCCGCTACACACATGGCGCAAATTCTCACGGGAGACAAAGCAACAAAAAAAAAAAAAAAAAAAGCTAAACTAATAATAAATAGGAACGTTAATGCGAAGGACCTTTAAAAAAAAAAAAAAAAAAAACGCAACACTTGCCATGCATAAAAAATTCATATGCGGCGGCGGCGGCGTCGACTAATTTAACGTTTTAAAAGCTGGAACCATCACCACCACCACCACCACAACCGCCACAACCGCCGCTACAACCAGTCAGTGACTTCTCTCTAAATAAAATTCAAATCCTTTTATAGCGAAAACTTTTTTACTTGCCACACGCATTGGTTTTATGAAACAAACAAACAAAAAAAACGCTCACAACGTTTAATTAGATATATAAGAAGAAGAAGAAGAAGAAAAAGAAAAGTAATAACGTGATTTACGATTTCGAACGCGCGTTGTGTGTGTAGTATTCGTATATACGATTTAATTCGTCCGTTTATATTTCTTTCTCGAAAACAACACAAACAACAACAAAAACAACAACAAAAACAAAATTAGGGTGTATGATGGCATGGATAATTTTATGTTATTTCAATGCCGCTCCCTTAACGAGTAAAAAAATACCTTTTGTACCAAAAAAAATTGTTTGTTCGGACACCCGAAATGTGTTTTTATAAAAAATGAATCAGCTTTTCTGCCGCCGACATGTTTTTTTTTTCTCTTTTGCCCTTTTTTTCCTTCTCCACACGCACACGCGCACCCATACACACAATCGTGAGAAAATTAAACTGAAATTCTTTTTTTTTAAAAAAAAAAAAAAAAAAAAACAATAAAAAATTCGACCGCAATAATTTCCATTGTAAAAAAAAAAAAAAAAAGAAAAAAAAATTCGGATACTTTTCATAACAAATTTTAAACCTACTCAACCAATTTAAAAACTCATCTAAAAAAATTTACTCTAATTTAAAAAAAAAAAAAAAAAAAAGCCTACGCGCGAAACAAAAAATTCTGTGACGTCAATTTTAATCAATTACGTACGAATTATGATGATG